CCCATCAGTCTGCTGCTTCTCCAGAGTCTCTGTCATCAGCAGTCTTTTGATCTCACTTATTCTCTCCATCCTTAGCCATGGCCCCGATTCAGGCTCTCACGCCCTCGCCCTGCACCCCCTCGAGAGCCTCTGAGCAGGACTCCTTTCTGAAATGCAGATCTGGGCAAGCCCTCCCACTAACACACTCAGGAGCGCAGCATTGCCTCCAGCCTTTGCGGGGCCTGGGAGCTACGACCCTGGGCCCTGAGGGCTGGCTGCACCTGCGGCTGTTTGAGCTCCCTGCAGAGCTGGTCTCTAGCCAGCCTTGCTCCCTGAAGCCTTCTAAGGCCCCTTCCTTGTTTGGGGAGAGCCCCCTTGTGCCTCACCTCACCTGTGCTGCAAGGGTGACATTAGTAAACTCACCTGTTCACGTATCTGTTCCTCCTGGACTGCGGGCTCCTTGCAGGCAGAGGTCGCATTTTGTCTCAGTAACCGTAGGGCACAGCACAGAGAGGAGATGAGTGAATGTCAGTGAGTCGGGGAAAGGAGATGAATGTGCTGATGTGCGGGGGTTGCCTTCCTCCTCAGGTGTACCTGGCCTTGGGCCTGACCCAGTTGGAGATCGATGAGTACTTCGCTGGCCCTGCCTTCCTGGCCTGGGAACGCATGGGCAACCTGCACACCTGGGGTGGCCCCCTGCCCCACTCCTGGCACCTCAAGCAGCTTTACCTGCAGGTAAAATAAAGGGGACGGGAAGGATAGAATTGGTCCTGGACAGTCACAGGCTAGGGAGGGTGGTATTTGGCCAGTCTCAAGGCTCCTAATTCGACCCGGGGACTCTGTGTGCCCTGGGGGAGCGAGGGCCTCCCATCTCGGGCCATGCTCACCAGCTCCCCCTCCTGTTCTTCCCAGCATCGGATCCTGGACCGGATGCGCTCCTTCGGCATGATTCCCGTGCTGCCTGCATTCGCAGGGCATGTCCCCAAGGCTATAACCAGGTGAGGCTCCCCTGCCCTCACCTCCCACTCACCTCAGAGATGGAATTTATTTTCCCCTGAAAGACATGATTTAAAGAGCTATAGGCCCTGGCTTGATTCCTGGCTCTGCTACCCACTAGCCATGTGACTTCAGGCAGGTTATGTGACTGTCTGTGCCTCAGTTGCCTCACTTACAGAATATACATGGCTTGGCACCGAGACTTAGCCAAAGGCAGCTCTTGTGTGTGGCAGTTGGGTACACTGGTCTCTGTCCTCCCTGCTCCTCTGTGGTACCCACCCACCCATCCTCTCCTGGAGCTGGGAAAATCCTTCAAGGCCAGCTGAGACCTCCCCTCCTTCAGGAAGCCTTGCTGGGCTCCCGGCACTGGTCGCCACCTCCTTCAGCCCCGTGAGCCCCTGGTTCCCACCACTCTCACATACTTCGTGCACGCTGCTGGCTACCCCTCCATCTCTTCAACCGGGTAGCAGGAGCCTCGTGCACACATTCAGTGAACGCTTGTCAGGGGTCTGGGACTGCCAGACCAGGCTCCGTGCTGGGCCCTTGGGAGGCAGCGACAACAGTGCACTGAGTTCCTGTCCCTGGTGGGAGATAGGTTGGCAGGGGGTTATAATACAGTGATAGGGCCCACTTCTCCGTCAAGGTCACTTCTGCCTGGGTAAGAGGAGCCGCAGGGACTCAGAGAGGCAGTACTGGGCCAGACCTTGAAAAATGAGTGTTGTTTGTTTCAACCAGTGGGAGGGGAGATAGCAAGAGTTTTCCAAACTGGGTGAAACTTAAAGGATGTCAAGGAGTAACCAGCTGGATGAGCAAGGAGAGAGGAGGAACGGACTCCAGGCACGGGGCACAGTATGTGCAAAGGCACGGAGGCATGAGAGACCAGGATGGGGTCCAGGAGTTGCAGATAAGTTAATGAAACTGGCAATGACTGTGTCAGCCTCCACTAAATGGACTGTTCCCACCCCCAACTAGGGTGTTCCCTCAGGTCAATGTCACCCAGATGGGCAGCTGGGGACACTTCAACTGCTCCTACTCCTGCTCCTTCCTTCTGGCTCCCGAAGACCCCCTGTTCCCTGTCGTGGGGAGCCTCTTCCTGCGGGAGCTGACCAAGGAGTTTGGCACAGATCACGTCTACGGGGCCGACACGTTCAATGAGATGCAGCCCCCCTCCTCAGAGCCCTCCTACCTCGCCACAGCCACTGCCGCCGTCTACCAGGCCATGGTCGCAGGTTTGGTGCCAGGGAGGCGGGGAAGGGGAGGAGGGGCTGGGCATCATCACGCCTGACTGTGACACATAGCACTTTACAGTTTACCAAGCACTTGTCCACACACATCATCTCATGGAGTCACACTGGTGAGAGGTGAGCTCTGGAGGCAGGCAGCCCGCTCAAACTCCGGCACTGCCACTTCCTGCCTGTGTGACTTGCAATAAGTTACCTCCCTCCAGGGCCTCCGTGGCTTCATCTGTAAAACGGGGCTCCCTCTGAGTAGGATGATGCCTGGCCCAGAGGAAAGTGTCATTAAGTGCTGGGTATTAAAAAGACAGGGGTTCGCCCTAAGCGGTTTGGCTCAGTGGATGAAGCGTCGGCCTGTGGCCTGAAAGGTCCCGGGTTCGATTCCGGTCAAGGGCATGTACCTGGGTTGCGGCTACATCCCCAGTAGGAGGTGTGCAGGAGGCAGCTGATCGATGTTTCTCTCTCATTGATGTTTCTAACTCTCTATCCCTTTCCCTTCCTCTCTGCAAAAAATCAATAAAATATATATTAAAAAAGAAAAGACGGGTGGGCAAAAGTAGGTCTACAGATGTGAGTACATGAAACACAGTTTGTTCTTGTATTATTTATTTATTTATTATTGTAGTATTTGTTACAACTGTACACCTACTTTTGCCCACCCCGTATTTTATTTGGTCCCTACCTCCATGCTGAGGTACATAACGCAGGCCAGAGGTTAGGGAATGTGCCCAAAGCTGGTAGGTGCCGTTCCTGGTGCACAGATGTGAACCTGGTACTCCTTCCTGCCACTTACAGGGGAGGGGAAAGGAGCCAGGTCAGGAGTGGAGGTGGGGAGGCCTCTGTGTCAGCAGGAAGGGAACTGATGGGCTCAGGGTTCCGTGAGCAGCGCTGCTCCAAGTCTGATGCAGCCCAGAGCCTGTCAGGTCTGCAGATCCTTCCTCCTTCCTTCCCTCCCATCCCCCACCTCCTGAGTCAGAAGGACCAGGGCTGGAGCCCATGAGTGTGTGTGTGAACCAGCCTCTGGGTAACTCCCATGGGGAAGGAGGGGATGGAAAGGGTGTGTGGGGTGAAGTAGCCCTGCTGGCTGGGGGTCCGGGGAAGGAAGTGTCCCGTGATAGAGTCGGCGAGCTTCTCTGGGCCTGTTTCCTCTCTGTGAAATGGGGGTGAGTGGTCCTCTGACCCCCTCCCTTCTCATCACCTCTCTTCTCTGTCCCCCACCCCCACCACAGTGGACCCTGACGCCGTATGGCTCCTCCAAGGCTGGCTCTTCCAGCACCAGCCCCAGTTCTGGGGCCCACCCCAGGTGGAGGCCGTGCTCAGGGCAGTGCCCCGTGGCCGCCTCCTCGTACTGGACCTGTTTGCTGAGAGCCAGCCCGTGTACGTCCGCACAGCCTCCTTCCAGGGCCAGCCCTTCATCTGGTGCATGCTGCATAACTTTGGGGGCAACCACGGCTTGTTTGGGGCCCTGGAGGCCGTGAACCGAGGCCCCGCAGCCGCCCGCCTCTTCCCCAACTCCACCATGGTAGGCACGGGCATGGCCCCTGAAGGCATTGGCCAGAACGAAGTGGTCTATGCCCTCATGGCTGAGCTGGGCTGGCGCAAGGGCCCAGTGGCGGATCTGGGGGCCTGGGTGACCAGCTTTGCGGCCCGGCGGTATGGGGTCTCCCACGAAGGCACAGAGGCAGCGTGGAGGCTGCTTCTCAGGAGTGTCTACAACTGCTCCGGCGAGGCCTGCAATGGCCACAATCGCAGCCCGCTGGTCAGGCGGCCATCCCTACAGATGGTAACCACTGTCTGGTACAACCGATCGGATGTGTTTGAGGCCTGGCGGCTGCTGCTGACAGCCACCCCGACCCTGGCCACCAGCCCATCCTTCCGCTACGACCTGGTGGACCTCACTCGCCAGGCAGTCCAGGAGCTGGTCAGCTTGTACTATGAGGAGGTGAGGACCGCCTACCTGAACAAGGAGCTGGTCCCCCTGCTGAGGGCGGCAGGCATCCTGGCCTACGAGCTTCTGCCCTCCCTGGACAACATCCTGGCTAGCGATAGCCACTTCCTGCTGGGCAGCTGGCTGGCGCAGGCCCGGGCAGCCGCGGTCAGTGAGGCCGAGGCCCATTTCTATGAACAGAACAGCCGCTACCAGCTAACCCTTTGGGGGCCAGAGGGCAACATTCTAGACTACGCCAACAAGCAGCTGGCAGGACTGGTGGCCGACTACTACACCCCCCGCTGGCGACTCTTCCTGGAGACGCTGGTCGACAGCCTGGTCCGAGGCATCCCCTTCCAGCAGCACCAGTTTGAGACGCATGCCCTCCAGCTGGGGCAGACCTTTGCCCTCAGCACACGGAGGTATCCCAGCCACCCCCAAGGCGACACTGTGGACCTGGCCAAGAAGCTCTTCCTCAAATATTACCCCCGGTGGGTGGCTGGCTCCTTGTGACAGATTAGTCACCCCTGGGCCATGTTCTCCCCAAACTCCAAGCCTGGGCAGGTTCCGGGAGTCCGGAGCTGGGCAAGCGTCACTGGAGGTCCCCCAAGCCTGGGCGAAGGGACTCAAGACCTGCCGGTCAGATCGAGGTTAGGGGGTTTGGGGGGAAGTGAGCTGCCCTCCTCCACCACCCCAAATTCGGGACCAAAGCACTGTTTTAATACAACTTAATAAACTGGTGAATCACCTGGACCTGTCTGTCTGAATGTCACTGCTACTGTGCCTGGGAGGACTCGGAGTTATAGCATGGACACCGGTGTGAGGCCCGTTCCCCCTGTCCCCTTGCTTTTGTCTCCCCATTGTTAATACTAACCCCTGACCTTTGAACTGAGAATGCCTGCCCAAAGCATTGGCTCTCGTACCCTCAGCAGCAAACTTTGGAAACTATCACTGTCCCCGTGGGACAGAGGCAGCCCAGGGAAAGAGCCGCGCAGGGCACTCGCTGCCCACGGGGAGCCCACGCCTCCTGCTTGCAGAGCTTCGCCCGACCTCTGACCAGCAACTAAAGCAGGTCCTTCCAAGCAGGGCCTCATCTCTCCTTGACCTAGAGCAGAGTGGGGAGAGCAGGCCAGGGACCTCGGGAGGTTCAGCCTTGAGGTGGTGCCGCAGACACAACAAGGGGTGAGGATCTCGGGGCAGGGGCGGGGCCAAGTAGGTGATATCTGGTCCCGAGACCAGAGCCTCTCCCACACGCTCTCCCCATGGACCGCACAGTGGTGCTCATCACCGGCTGCTCCTCGGGCATCGGCCTGCAGCTGGCCCTGCGTCTGGCGGCAGACCCTTCCCGGAGCTTCAAAGGTATCTGCGGGGGTTGGGACGGGAGCAGCCCTGGTCCCAGGGCACCTCGGTAAGTTAAGCAGGACGTCGGTCCTCGTCTTGTCCCCGACCTCCAGTGTATGCCACTCTACGGGACCTGAGCACGCAGGGCCCGCTGTGGGAGGCCGCCGGGGCCCACGGGTGCCCGCCCGGCTCCCTGAAGACGTTGCAGCTGGACGTGCAGGACGCAGATTCCGTGGCTGCTGCCAGGGCACGTGTGACTGAGGGCCGCGTGGACGTGCTGGGTGAGCCTCCCCCAAACATAAAGGAGCCTTCCCTGTCCTGTGTCCACACCGAGGTGTCCCGAGGCTCAGGGAACACGGGACCGGCCGGGACGGAGGGCAGTGCAGGGGGCACAAGCGGTCGCACCTCTCCCCACAGTGTGCAACGCGGGCCGGGGCCTGCTCGGGCCCATCGAGGTGCACTCGGCGGAGGCCGTGGGCTCTGTGCTGGACGTGAACTTGGTGGGGATGGTGCAGATGCTTCAGGCCTTCCTGCCCGACATGAAGCGCCGCCGCTCAGGACGCATATTGGTGACTGGGAGCATGGGAGGCCTGATGGGTGAGTGGGGTGAGTGGAGGGGGGCTGGGCCGGGCACCAGGCGCCCCAGCGGGCTTTCCGGGGACGCGCTCCCATCTGAGTCTCAGCGGCCTCATCTCCCCTCAAAGGGCTGCCCTTCAACGCTGTTTACTGTGCCAGCAAGTTCGCCATCGAAGGTTTATGCGAGAGTCTGGCGGTGCTGCTGCCCCCCTTCGGGATCCAGTGAGTCCCCGCCCACCCATGGAATCCTCTGACCCTGACTTTGGGAACTCCCATACCCCGTCTCCGTGGAGCTGCGCCCAGGCGTTCTCCCTGCCCTTCCCTACTGCGGCCCATATCTGTGTGCCAGGCACTGTACTGGGCCCATGCGTGTGACCTACCTGGTGAGGTGTCTGTTATTATTGGGAAGCTTAGGCCCAGAGAGATGAGCTGACTGCCCCAAGGTCACACAGCACGTGACCCAGCCAAGTTCAAATTCTGATGCGTCCCAGCCAAGTTGGAATTCTGACGCCAGAGTCGCTCTCAGAGCCTCAGATGGAAGTGGGAGCGCTTTTCGGGCAGTGAGCCGCTTGCAAGCGCTCTGGTTAGCTTTCTGCGCCCGTCACCTGCCAGTGCGCAGACCCCTCCTACCCTCCCTCCTGGCGGTGCGAGGGGCCTGGGGGCTGGGGCTGGGGGCCCGGTGGGGCTCTGTTCTCACGGGCTCCCAGCCGACTCGCCGCTCTCGGGTCGCAGTGTGAGCCTCATCGAGTGCGGCCCGGTGCGCACCGCCTTCCAGGGGAAAGTCCAGGACGGCCTCGACGCGGCGCTGGGCAGTGCAGATGCCCAAACCCGAGACCTTTTCTCCCAATACCAGCGCCACTTCGAGCAGGTCTTCCGCGAAGCGGCGCAGGACCCAGAGGAGGTGACAGAGGTGGGTGCGGGGCCGGGCTCCGGGAGCGGGCGGCCCTCGAGTCCTCGCCCCCAGCCCCAGCTTCCTCTCCGCACCCCGCAGGTCTTCCTCGCCGCGCTGCGCGCCCCGAAGCCAGCCCTGCGCTACTTCGCCTCCGAGCGCATCCTGCCCCTGGTGCGGCTGCGCCTCGCCGACCCCAGCGGCTGCAGCTACGTGGCTGCCATGCGCCGCGCAGTGTTCGGCGACAAGCCCGCCGAGGGTCCGGAAGGTGCTCAGGCGGAGGCTGGAGCCGGAGAACTAGGGCGCCCTGAGTCCAGCGCGCCTCCAGCTGCCCCGAAATAAAGGCCTGGTCCCATGGTCTCCCTCTCTCTCCTTTGCGAGCCCAGGGAGGTGGGTTCTGGGGAGCGGAGGGGGACTGCACTGCGCCGGCTGGTGCCGCAGGCGGGCGCGGGCGTGTTGTGAGCCCGGGTTACCGACCTGGAAACCTCCCAGAACGAGGAAAGCGCCGGCCAGGGTCGCGCCTCAAGGCCGCGGCTCCCGTCTGCGGCGGTAGGAGTTAGGCAGCTTGGACGGGGAGAAAGCCGGGCTGTGACTTGGCCCCCACTAGTCATGGGACCTCAGGCAAGTTTTTTACCTTCTCTGAGTCTGTTTTCTTATGTGTAAAATGGGTATGATTCCTATGTCATGGGTCATAGTAAGAATTAATTGAGATAATGCCTGAAAGTGCTGGTAGAGAGGTCTTCATAGCAGGTCTGGTACTTGTATTCCCATGCGGAAACCAGATGTGTAGAGAAACAGGCCAAATGAATTAAAAGGAGACAGCCCCACTCACCCTCCCGGTGCCCCTGCCCTCAACGAAACTCAGCAGGAGCAGCTCCTCCAGCCAGGCCTGGCTGTTCTGCCCAGTGGTCTGTCTTCCTTCCTGAAGCCAGAGGCAGAAGCTAGGGTGGCAGGAGCCACTGAAAGGGCCTGCAGGGCTGGGGAGCTGATCTCCTTCTAACTTCCTCCAGGTTGGGTGCTGGCGGAGGGTGAACAGACAGAAACTAGGTGAGGAGGTTGCAGGCAGAGGAAAGGGGCAGGGTGCCCTGGAGGGGATGGGAGTGGGGGACAGACCAGGAGGGGGCTTGGCTGCAGAGCCTGGAAGAGGGAATAGGGGGGACCCGGCCACCTACCAGGGTTCTGGGAGCTTTGTAAGGGACTTTGGGGGAAGGAGGCGCTGCATCCTGACCTGCCCCTACCTCCAGGTAAGGATCTGCTCTGGGCCTCTGGACTGCCTGCTGCTTCTGCTCCTGGGAGAAGGTTCCAGAAGGGGCCTCAGCCACCCCGTCCGTACCCCTCTCCCTGCCCTGCTGGCCCAAATGGGTCTGCTGTCCCGGCAGCATCCAGGAAGGCCACAGGAAAGGGTCAGGGCCAAGGTGGCACGCAGCTCTGAGGCGTGGGGCCTGTTCTCTGCACGTGTGTGTGAGTGTGTGTGTATGTGCAGGTGCTCACAAGGTCACCGTGCGGGGACGGGGATGATGAGGCAGGCCCAAGGGGACCACTCTCCCCCCTATATCCATACGCCTAATAATCCTAAGAAGTCCTGTAACTGAGCCCCTTGTAATGCTCATAGTATTTTTGGTGGCTAGAATTGAATAATTTAATTCTTAATTAGGTCTTTGTTCAAATGTTAACCATTCTTCTTGGTCAACCCCTTTAGTTCTCAGGAATGTAGTAATAAGTTGCTGATGTGGTATCTCTTTGCCATGCAGGAGGAGATCACTTCAGAGGCAGGAGGATAATTTATGAGTTTGTTTTGCAGAAGAAAAGAATATCTTCAAGTAGCTATAACCAGCTGCTGGTACCCAGGAGTCTGATACAGGAAAACGTTATCTGTGACTAAAGAAACACAGACTTCTCTCAGTTCCCTGAAACTCCCCCTCCATTACTCCCTAGCCACATAAAAACTCCCTACTTTTTTGCTTTTGGGGAGAGATGGATTTGAGAGATCTTGTTCTCCCATCCTCTCAATTTTGTCAAATCAAATGAACCTTTCTCTGTCTCCAGCACCGAAGTCTCAATGTTTTGGCCTACTAGTGCATGGACTAAGGTAATTTCCAAATATGCCTTAAAGATTGAGGGTTACATGGCCCTTGTTGGTTTGGCTCGGTGGATAGAGTGTCGGCCTGTGGACTGTAGGGTCCCAGGTTCGATTCCAGTCAAGGACACATGCCCGGGTTACAGGCTCCATACCCAGTAGGGAGCATGCATGAGGCAACCGATCAATGATTCTCATCATTGATGTTTCTATCTCTCCCTTCCTTTCTGAAATCAATAAAAATATATATATTTTAAAAAAGATTGAAGGCACATGAACCTGAATTTTGGGGAGGTGATTCAGTAACAGTCCCATGACTTCAAATACCATTTACACGCTGATGATCCCCCTAAACATAGGTCGATGCTCAACCACTG